AAGCAAATTAACCATACAATTTTTATTAGGGTTGCAACGCTACGGTTGAAACATTTCAGCACAAGTTTGGCGCCTGCCCCCGCGTGGCGCACGCATGGGCTTCCATACAGCAGAGGACTACGACGATACTCGGCGGCTGGCAAAGGCTGTCCATCGAGGATCTTCTTCGACCAGAACTTCTGAACATACACACTTAGATTTTTTCGCCGAGATGGGCACCACCGAGCAGCTCGGCATTTTATTTTGCTGGATCTCAGTGAAAAACTTGCCGAGATTCAGCTAACAAACGGGAATTTTGCCGAGATCTCAGCTAACAAACATATTTTTTGCTGAATTTCCAGTAAAATAAAATGCCGAGCTGCTCGGTGGTGCCCATCTCGGCAAAAAAATCTAAGTGTGTAGGGCTAAGAAAACGAAACGAAATTTTGAAAATCTTTGTATCGTACATCGACTATGTTAATTCTGTTAACGATAGAATAGATGTTAGTGCCCTAAGTTTTTACATCGATTGTGAACAATAATACGTGTAAATTAATGTTTTAACACAGAAATAAACAATACTTTTACAAAAAAAAACGTTATTCAAGCTGATGTATGAAATAATGATGTAATAGCAAAAAGCAGATACAATATTACATCAATGGATGTAATTTTGTTCGCAAAATCGATGTACATCGTACAACGTAATATTACACAACCGGTGGAATGACCTTTGTGCAGCTGTTTGGATGTAATATTCAACAACTTTTTTTTCTGTGAACAAGACATCTCCAACTATTTCAAGCTGAACATTGCATTAGGTCCTAGGTAACATTATTCGATTCTCTTCGTCGACTTTCTCTTTCGTTGCGTTTGCCGTATAAGATGCTAGATAAAAGCTTCTTTTATCGATCTGTGTGCTGAAGATACCTGGGGATACAAAGGGAATGTCGACGAAGAGAATCTGTCAATGTTACTTAGGACCTAATGCAATGTTCAGCATGATTTGTGTTGAAACCAATATGATACAGTCAACACTCCCTTACTCGATATTTTTCGAAACTCGATGACATTCAGGTCCTTTCAAATTTGCACTCTCCATAACTAGATACCTCCTTTACTCGATGTGTTTTGATTATTTTTCTATGTATTGTCACCGATTCTGTGACACTACCCCGAATGTCACTACCCCGAACGCCGTTACCCCGAAAGCTACTACCCCGAATGTCCTACTACCCCGAATGGCCATTACCCCGAATACCCTACTACCCCGAATGACCATAACCCCGAAATTAAGACAAACGGAAGAACAGCATGCGATTAAAAGGATAAGGATTGTGCTACATTTCCCCGAATGCCATATCCACGAAAAAAAAAAGTTAGGAATTTTTCAACCTTGGCAATTTTCTTACTATATATTGAGCATCGTGAGCAGATTGCAACCCACCTTAAATTTCAAACCATGCAAATGGAAGATTTAATATGAGATTAACCCAACTACCAATTAATTTGCTTCGAGTAGCTAGAAACCCATTCCCAAAGCACAGGATGCTCACTATGCCCCTCTTTTCCCTATATTAATGTATTGAGCCGTTTAAAGCATTTTCATTTTTATATATAGAATAATAATCCAAAACCAGTATGCTTGTTTTCAGTTCATTTATTATTCATCATTATTTGATTTGTTTCTTGGAATTCTTCCTTTTTTTAGACATGAGCAGTTCTTTGGAGTTTTGAGGTTTCCATACTTTTAAACACTGGAATGTAATTGTAGAAGGAGAAAAAGTAATTTAATAAACAGTAAATGGAATTTTTTCCTTCTTTTGATCATGAGCTATTCTTTCAAACTTATTTGGACCAGAACATGATTAAAAATAATAATAAGTAATTTTAGAAAATAAATGGATATTTTTTCTTCTTTTCATGAACTATGGTTCAATTTAATACGAAAGAACAGCTCATGAAGAAATTAAGGGAAAAGAAATCTTTCTTGGATATTTCTCCTTTTTTTGAATATGAGCAGTTCTTTCAGAAGGAAAATGGGAATATTCGATTATGAAGGAATATTATTATATTTTCAATCCATTTGTTGAAGTGTCACTAAAGAGGGAAACTTCAATGCAGAACATGTGAATCTCATACACCCAGATCGCTGTGTGAAGGATTATAATGCCTTTGGAAAAAAAATCTGCTTGTTTTTACTGCTAATAATATCAGTTACACCGATTCTATAACATTCCCCAGAAAAGATGATGAAATTAGTAATTTATCACTTTTTTTTGTCATTTTATATTGTTATATATTCAAAGAAGGGAATATTTCCTTCTTTATCGTATATCCAAAGAATTTATTATTTCCTTTTGTTATATTTCCAAAGAAGGGAATATTCCCTTCTTTATCATATATTTAACGAATTAATGATGTTCTCTTTTATACATATGCAAAGAAGGAAATATTCCCTTCTTTATCGTATATCCAAAGAATTAATTATTTCCTTTTCTTATATTTTCAAACAAGGGAAAACCCTTTGATCCATTAAGGTCTCCTAAAACCCCTTGACCCATTAAGAAGTTTTTCTCTTCTTTTTATAATATGCGAAGGAAGATTCCAGGAGTGACTATAATAAACAAAAATACAGCTTACAGCTTTTGGAAATGGATTCGGGGTAATGGTCATTCGGGGTAATGGGCATTCGGGGTTGTGTACTATTCGGGGTAACGGCGTTCGGGGTAGTGTACCGTTCGGGGTAACGGCGTTCGGGGTAGTGACATTCGGGGTAGTGTCTCAGAACCATTGTCACCTCCCTAATTGTAATATTTTCCCCCTCATTTGATTTGAGATTCAAAGTAAAGCTTAGTTGTGATCTATTGTAAAGATTGTGATTTTTTAGTCAAGAAATCAAAAAACAAATATCCGACTTGACTAATCCACAAATTAAGACTCAATATAAATTCCAATTTCATCTCAAAATCATTTAGATAGGCAGTCAAATTATTGGGCTATGTTAAGGAACTTAAGAATTTGAATTTTTCTGTTGTTCTGTTACTCGATACCTCCCTAAACCATCAATGGACGGCAATCGAATGTGCAGGAAGGCAGCTTCCACACCTGGTTAGAAAATATCGCACCCATTCCAACACACATGGCGAACCAACGGCTTTACTTCCATTCCGAAGGAAGACGTGACCAGAGATTTGTATGCCTCAGACCGACCTCGGCTGGAATTTAACCCAGACCCATTTGGATGAGAAAACAGTCACGCATACCACTACACCACCGGAGCCGGCAAACATCAACAATCCATCGTTGCTTATGCCTTTGTTGTCGTTTGGAACCAGTTTTGCGAGGTAGGCGACGATTGTGCGTATTTCTCGCGTAACATTTGAACTCGTTGATCGATTCTCTTCATCGACTTTCTGTTAAACGGCAACATAAACGAATTTCTCGCTAAGCTCGCAGCACAGTTCGACAGAAGATGATGTTAGCTTGCGCCTGAACAAAGACACTGAATGGGAAATTCATTTGCAGTCGGGTTATTCAAGAAAGAGAAAATCGATCAACAATGATAGGACCCTTTCTCGTGTTGCGCGAAAAACTACAATTCGATAGTGAGCATGCATAAGGGCGTTTACATGATTCTCTTCATCAATTTTCTCTTTGCATTGCTACAGTTAAGCGAAACAATTTTCTAGAATTTGTTCAATGCAGAGTTGTGACCAGGTTGTATTGGCTGTCAAAAGCAACAGCAAACGCACCGAGAAACGTTAAATCTAGCGAGTTATTAACAAAAGAGAAAATGGACGAAGAGAATCGATCACCAACGGCGCCGGTGGTGTAGTGGTAAGCGTGATTACCTCTCACCCCAGCAGGCCTGGGTTCAATACCAGTCGGCGCCGCCGGTATGTTCTGAGGCATAACATCTCTGATCACGCCTTCCTTCGGATGGGAAGTAAAGCCGTTGGTCCCCGGTTCATGAGTTGATGGGTCGATAGGTAGGGTCCAGGTGTGAGAGCTGCCTTCCTGGCACGTCGGTAGCATTGGTGCTCAGCACGGAAAACAAGATCGACGGAAAAAACAAACCAAAGGAAAAAAAAAAAATCGATCATCGTGTTTACGCCCTTATGCAACAGTCGAATACAATCATATCAGGCATAAAGGCACAAAAGCATTTGTAAACATACTTTCTAAAGCCCTTTACACGCGAACCAAAGTACGCCCACGCAAACCAACAACATCATCGGATAGGGGCAACTATCACCTTTCCGAAAGTGGTATTGGTTTGCGTGGGCGCACTTTGGTTCGTGTGTAAAGGACCTTAGAAAGTTTGTTTACAAATGCTTTTGTGCCGTTATCAAATGTTATGCCTGATATACATCAACATTACCAATAGATGGAGGTTTGTCTCGACTTTCCGATGGATGGAAGTCAAAAGTGACAGTTCGACAGTGAGCATGCATAAGGGCGTATACGCGATGATCCATTCTCTTCATCGTTTTTTCTCTTTGCATTGCTACAGAAAACTGTTTGCATAGCCGTGGTTATCAAAAGAGAAAGTTCATGAAGAGAATCGATCAAAGCAGATAGGCCCTTTTCCCAGCTCTGTATAGATTAGTTCAATGCAGTGCTGTAACAGGTTGTATTGGTTTTCAAAAGCACCAGCTAAGCACCGAGAAACGTTAATCCAAGCGAGTTATTAACAAAAGAGAGAATCGATCATCGCGTCTATATCGAGGTATACCTGTAATAGCATCTTTCATCGATATGTGTGCTGAAAATTACTGGGAATGTCTTAACTTAACATTGCCGTGAGGATGCAAAGAGAAAGTCGACGAAGAGCTGTCAATGTTACTTTAGGACCTAAAGCAATGTTCAGCTTGATATGTGGCAAAATATGGTTTGTTTGCATTTTGGCTCTTCCGCCCCTTTGAAATGTTAGTCTAGAAAATTTCAGGGTAATTTGTAAAAAGTGTTTTTTTTTTTCCATTTGACGGTGCTAAACCACAATCTTCTACTCTTTCTAGATCACCTCCCAATGAATGAATCATGAACGACATCAGTACCAACAATAAGGAAACGGTCCTCCCGGGACCCTCCGCCTGGGAACAGTTGACCAACCCAGCTCTTGCTGAACAACATCATCAGCAGCAGCAGCAACATTTGCAACAGCAACAACAACAGCAGCAGCAACAACACCAGCAGCAGCAACAACAACAACAACAACAGCAGCAGCAGCAGCAACTTCAACATCAGCACCATGTTCCGACGCAACCTCACCTGCAGCACCAACAGCCGCAACCCCAACAACAATTGCATCCGCCACAGCAGCAGCAACAGCAGCACCACCAGCCGCAACACCACCCACACCCTCACCCTCACCCCCACCCTCATCCCAACGCTCACCCGCATCCCCTCCCGCATCCTCAAATGCACCCAAATCATCCTCAGCAGGGGCCTCCCCCACTGCAGCATCCCCTGACTCAACCGCCCCATCCTCACCAAACGCCTCTGCATCAGGCCACGAGTCCAACGACGACTGCGGCACCACCGATGACTCCTACGAAAACGACTCCTCCCGATATGTCACATACCCCGCAAACGGCACCCGGTCCCAACCAAACCCCCGGACCCAGCTACTCCGAAGAACTCCACCCGGAGCTGATCAACCAGGGGTGGCGCAAGTTTTGGTCCAAACGAGAGGGACGACCCTACTTCTGGAACAAACTTACCGGTGAATCTCTCTGGGAAACGCCGATGCTCAATCGGAGTAACCAACAATTTGATCCGCTTACCGACCCGCTCGGTATCTGTCACACCGGACAGAATGGACCCGCTCCGCAGCAGAACAACAATGCCCTCAAGCGGAGAGCCTCGGAGGACACCCAAAATCACCACCAGCAGGGAACGGGTGCACCTCCTCCGCTGAAAAAATACATTCTGCCCGGTCCATGGGACCTGGAGATCCCAACCAACGTGGTAATGTATGACCGCATTCCAACATTGTACCCCCATCCGTACCCGGAAGTGGAAGCCATGCGAGGACTTTTCACCGTACGACTATACAAAACCTACGAAGACCTGTGCACCAAACGGGAAGCCATCAATCCTCCATGCGGGTCGTTTAATCGCTGGCTCATGGAGCGCAACATCATCGACCGAGGATGCGATCCGATGCTTCCGAGCGACTCTCAACCGGAGATCTCACAGCAAATGTACAGAGAAATAATACGGGACATTCCGATCAAGATTGTCAAGCCAAAGTTTACCGGCGATGCACGGAAACAACTGTCCCGGTACTGCGATGCGGCGAAGAAGATTGTCGAGCGGACTTCCGCCTCGGTTGAAAGCAAGAAGGTGGTCAAGTGGAATGCGGAGGAAACGTACGAATGGTTGAGGAAAACGGTGGGAGCAAGTTATGAGGACTTTCAAGATCGATTGCAACACCTGCGGCGACAGTGCGAACCGCACATCATCGAAACGGTCCGGAACAGTGTGGAAACGCTGTGCACAAAGATCTACAGTCTGTCGAAGCAGCACGTGAAGACGATACGGGACCGGCACAGTCAGATACTGAAAGAAAGCGGCATCCAGGAACTGACGCAACAGCTGCAACCTCCGCTGATGCGAAAAGTGTGGTGCTATCCTGTCCAGTTTGCCATCCCGTCACCTCGGATGCCCCAGATCGACTACAACACCGATCGGGATCACATGACCATCAAGTACACGCATGCCTCCATTCCCGGGTCCGACACGCACACGATCAATAGCTCTCATCTGCAGAAGCTGGTGAGTATTTCGTCAATTTGTTTTGGTGATCATGGCTAGTGGCTAACAATCGTACTCTTGAATCTATGCAGGAGCAACTCTACCGGTACAACTGTTTCGACGACAAAAAGTTTGATTTTTTCATCGGGCGGATCTACTGCATGCTGAAGCGCTACTCGACGTTTCTATGCAACGTGAGTCCGACCCAACAGGAGCCGGAGCTCACGCAAGCGGCCCTCCCGGCGGTGGTCTTCGAGTGTCTCCATCAGCACTTCGGTGTGACGTTCGAGTGTTTCGCCAGTCCACTGAATTGCTACTTCCGGCAGTACTGCTCCGCCTTTGGCGATACCGATTCGTACTTTGGTTCGCGAGGATCGTTTCTAAAGTTTAAGCCCGTGTCCGGATCGTTCCAGGTGAATCCACCGTACTGCGAGGAACTGATCGATGCCACACTGCAGCACATTGACCGATTGCTGACGGATTCGACGGATCCGTTGAGGTGAGATTCTTGGCTGGGCTTAACAAAACTGATTGCAGCATTTATTCGTTGTTGTTTTTTTTTTTTTGCAGTTTTATCGTGTTCCTCCAAGAATGGAAGGAACCGGGTCTTCAGTGTCTGTCGAAAATCGAAGACAGTCACTTCAAACGGAAGCAGGTGGTGGTGATGGGAATGGAGCACGAATATCGACACGGTTTGCAGCACTGCATTGCGAGGTAAGTCGTTTTCGGTTTCTTGTGAGTAGTTCACGTACTTACCCCATACAATTTTGAACTATTTCTCAGATCGGATGTTAACTTCAAGAGCATCCACGGCACGATGGTAGTCTGGTTGCAGAACAATGCCGGCTTTCAGCGGTGGGGTCCCACCGAGGCACGGGTCGATGCGCTCCTAGAAGCGTTCCGTCCCGGACGGGAACGGGAACGAGACAAAGTGGTACCTGTAAGCACCGGAACGGCAACGGCTAGCAGTCCACCCGAGGCGCCCACTAACAGCGAACCCGGTTCCACCACCCCCAAGACCCCCCAACAAACCCCACCGGTTTAAGGTGATACGATACAGCGTCCGCAAATCACTGGCAGAATGGCTGACTGAGCTGCCACTTCAAATTTTCTAGGGAGTAAATCTCGGACACTATTGCGATTTCAAGCATCAAGTAAACGTGGGGAAGCAGTTTTATCATTGTATGTTTTCTGGTAGCTGATAATTATGCTTCAGAAAATGCGAATTGGCATGGAAGCCTTTGCTCTGACCGTATCACCTTAAAATCGGAAATCATGTCCTTTACGCCGATAAAACTAGCAAACAGAACAAAAATAGTAGTACATTTGAAATTAAACAAAGCACCTAGGCAAACTATCAATAACAGCCAGTCAGTTTCACCCAGTTTTACTCTGCACCCGGAACATATTTATAGAAGAATAATAGGACGACAGAGGCTGCACCAAGGAATTTTAAATCCAACCAATTCAGTCAGACAAGAAATATTCAGCAAGCATATTTTAATCGAGTGTAAAATAGCAAAATCAAACACTAGTTAGTAGCACCCAGCAGCTAGTGGATAATCAATCGCTATTGTGCGTCGTATACACTGCTAGGCTATTCCCACACAGAAGAAACTAATTATCGTGCTCTTCGTTGTTGATTCTTTTTAAAAGTCGAAATGATGTGCATACCCTGGAAGAGGGCACATTAGACAACTCTCTTCTATCAAATTGTATCATATAAGTTTATAACCATTAAGAAATTCTGTATAAATTCAAAACTAGAAACAATTGGGATAATCCCTATCTTAAAATGATTTGCGTACGAGAAGTTGAGACGAGAGGAAGAGAGAGGTGCAGAATAAATACGAAAAATCAAAGTTGAATGAAGTCAGTCGCGTGGATGTGGTGTGTAGTAGTAGTTCGCAAAAGTCCTATTATAGATGTGGCAATTTGTTATTTGTTTTCAAAACATTGTGGAGATTTTTTAATATTATTATTTTGAGCTCTTTATTTTATATTAAAATATAAACTCGCTGACACGCGGAAGTAATTTTTTCTCTAGTGATGGCGAAAATTGCAGTAGGAGTTGATTACGAAATTAAAATGTGAACGGAACGAGAAGCACACTAAGCAGCGCGCGACCAAGTGAAAAATGAAAAAAAAATAACCTTCTAAAAGCTAGGCATTCAGGAAAAGATTGATGTAAACCTTTGTTCTCGATTTCAGGAACTATTTTCTAATGGTTTTTCGATGTAGTAATCGTATCCTGTTAAGACATTAGTTGATGTACAAATCTATAAACCATAATAATGTGGACATTATTCGAACGTTAAGAAAATATATTGAGAAATATCGGAAAACTTGGTTTTGTGTATTCCTTGTGTCCTGACGCATCCTGACTACCCAGTGTTTGTGGGGTCTAACTTGATAGTAGTACCCATTTATGAGTGCTACAATTTCATACAGTTTATCCACTGATGACAATTCCCAACTGCAGAGCCACATTCAAGATATATGAGTAGAACAAATTATGGGCAGGTTAAAATTCATGCGGTCTGATATTTTCTACAATAAATTATGTTTTAGCGTAAACGAAACACCTGACCATTATTCTTCAATGCACGACGTGTAAATATTTGCATTATTTACAAACCTCAGTATAATCATGACATTTTGCTCTTTGAAAACAACGCGAATGAAAAAAATAGTTCTACACTGAGGTAAATGGACGTAAGAATTCAATAAGATCCACTTATGAATTTAAGCCACAAGAAATCAGTATGCATTTCACAATTGCCTGATGAATAACAAATACGACAGAAAATAAATAAAACGGAGCTGACTGGCACCGAACCATGGACGTTGGGATTACGAAGCCAGTGTGGTGACCACTTGTCTTTTAACGCTTAAATTGACTGGTTAGGTACATATAAGAGCTACCTCATGTTAGACGAAAATCATTCATAAATGAATGAGAAATGATTTTTAAATTCAAATGGATATATTTTTGGTATTGATTCAAATATATTATTCGGTTAATTCGAAGATAAATATTTTTGAATCTATCCAGCTTTCCATGCTCGGTAATGGCGGCCTGTTTGTATGAATAAATGTATCCTTCACTGTGCATTTTGACACTATCTGGATGTTCGAATTTCGAACCCTCCCTTTCCCTCTCCCAGAAACAGAAGAAAATGGAACAACATTCGCCCTCCAGTTAGTGTCAAAAAGCACAGAGAAGGATACATTTATTCATACAAACAGGCCGCCATTACCGAGCATGATGGAAAGCTGGATAAACCGGTTGTAGAATCAATAATCTGTTTTTTGATTCTAAAAAACCATTTTGTTGATTCAAAAATATGTGTTGTTGAAATAGTGATACAATATGTTTGAATCAATAACTAAATACATAGGGCCCTGAAACAAACATTAATTTTTCTGCGTGTAAGTCACGCTCATGAAATTAATATGTCATTCATAAGCCGACCCTAATAAAAATGGTATGGTTAATTTGCTTAACGACGTGTTCGGGGTATCATCCAAACCATTTGTGGAATTGTTCAATGATTTGGGTTATCGTTCGTTTGTGGTAATTTTTTATTAGGGGAGCCTTATTTGCCTCAATGTACTGCGTCAGAATCTGACATGATTACCTGAGTTTTGTCAAAAAATGTAAATATTTACCCTTTGTACAGTGACTTATAAATCTGATCAACTTTGCCAAAAACAAGAACCATCTATCTAGTTGAGCTTTCCAGTTAAAGCAAATAATTATAAGTCAAATCGTATAGAGATTGCTGACGTTTATCGTTCGCATACTACGTCATGTATACGTATACGCAAAATGTTTTCATCGGGAAAAAATACTTCATAGCGGAAAATTTTCCCGATGATAACAAATCACTGACACAAAAATACCTTTGACATCGATTTGTTATGCATTTTCCTCGGATTTTCACTAACACACTCTCACATATCGCACCAATACAACTGGACGTGAAAATCTCTATTGTAGCATTGAAATTCAAAGTAAAATTGCGATTTTACCGTTTCTTCTGAATTTTCAATGAAGTCAGTCCTGTCAAACTTCAACTTCGATTTTCTCAAAATGATGGATATGTTACATTGGTCTATTTGAAACGCTGCTTTTCCAATGAACGCTGTTTTGAAAATGGCGGCACGTCGCGGCATAAATTTTCTTTTCTCAGCGGGGACTACTTTTTACACATTTTTGTTCACCGTTGACATACTCAAAAATGCATAAAAAGTACTCATTTGTAACTAAAATCTAAACATTTTTTGACGTATAAACCGTATTCTCGAAAATGTGTAAAACATAGTCATAAAAGGAGTATTCTAGAATTACCGTGTATGTTACATTGCAATGAGCTGGATTACCGAGGTAAAGCAGAGATTGCTAAAGTATGATTGCAGGCATAAAATTTGATAACGGCGCAAAAGCATTTGTAAACAAACTTTCTAAGGCCCTTTACACGCGAATCGAAGTACGCTCACGCAAACCAACAACATCATCGGATAGGGGCAACTATCACCTTTTCGAAAGTGGTATTGGTTTGCGTGGACGTACTGTGGTTCACGTGTAAAGGGCATTAGAAAGTTTGTTCACAAATGCTTTTGTGCCGTTATCAAATGTTATGCCTGAAAGTAACGATTTTTATCGGTAAAAAATACTGATACATTTTTATCGATAATTTTAGGTAATTGACCAGTTCATTCGCAGTTGAAATGACGTTTACTACCACTCGAACTTTGAAATAAAACTGAGAATATAACATTATTTTGAGATTTTTTCTTCTAGAACCACGAGAAAAGTAGCCAACATTTGTGCGTTTTCTAAAAAAAATAGAAATTAGTTGGTCCAGTTTTGTGAAATCGCTGGCAGAAAGTCACGCCAAAACTCGAGCCAAAACTGCTTGATAAAGTGGTTAATTGTAGCTTAGAGTGTATATGGATCGATTAAAAATTAAACCATGCTGGGTAGTTTTCTCTAAGTGTGTAAGAAAAACAAAATCGGAAGAATTCTCGCGTCACTTTTCAAATAGACCAATGTAACCAGGAATGTAACATATCCACCATTTTGAGAAAATCGAAGTTGAAGTTCGGCAGATTATTACTTTAACTGTTTAGAAACAATACATTTTGCAATACTATTTTTAATGTAGTCAGTGAACAATAACGTTGAAAATTCAGAAGAAACGATAAAATCACAATTTTACTTTGAATTTCCATGCTACAATATAGGGAAAAACACATAGGACGTTTTGACTAGTCAAGTTGTACATCGGACATGTTACGTTGGACGATTTTTCGCAATGACGTAATCAATGAGTGTTATATTGGACGTTTTGTTCTACATGATACTACACGAATACGAATTTTGCAGGGTGGCCAGCATACCGGGAAAAATCCGGAAATTCGGCAAGAGAACCGGGAAAAATAAATTAAGCATACCATAGGAACAAATTTTTACACCAGAATTTCATAATAAACCATTAAAACAGAGTGAAGCTTTACCAAATGAATATGTCTTGCTCTATTTGCTGCATACTTTTCTTAAGTTTCCCATCTTATTGTTTTTAGAATTTAATTACTCAGCAATATTGCAAATTTATTTGTATCGTTTCAATTTTAGATGTAAAGTGCATGGTCCTTAAAAGAAAATATTGAAGATGCTGGACCAGGGGGTAAGTCACTCTGCCACCTTGTGTTTGTGCTTATTGTGTTTCATGTGTGTTTTTGGGTGTCGGAAGGTGTTTCTGGGTGCTTCATCGTATTTACGGAGTTGTCAAAACTTCAACAGAAAAAATAAATTTACTGGCAACCATATCCTCGATCATAACATAACGCTGAAAATGACAGACTCCCTGCGATTCCTTTGCTGTTGTTTGTTTAAAGGAATAGAACAACCGGCGGGAGGATTATTTGGAGCTGAAATGACCTCAGCCCCGAGCACCGGATATCAGAGTAAGACATGGAAAAGACCGCTAGCTATACCACTGACTTGCTGCGTCAGAATCAGTAATAGAGTTCCATAAGCGTTTCGCAACTGTAGAGATCCAATTTTAATCAGCAGCCAGTACCGTTCAGGGTTATAACCACAAATTAGTTCTTGACACGGGCATTGGTCCTCTCGCTGCACGAGGAAGACGAATGAGTACGTGCCACCCGAGAAGGAAGATCAAGCAAAGGGTACATTTACAATTAATTGGAGGGGCCGTGATTGGGATGCCGCTGGTGAGAACCTAGGATTTACAATCAGAAACTTTTTCGTTGCGGTTGTAGTGGTTTTCTTGCAAGACATCTTTACATTTTTTAGCATCCTGATGCCGCTGCTTTCGTGGATCCTAACCGGTTTAGTATTTCCTTTTCTTTGGATTGGAGGTTTTCAATCAAGATCAAGAAATTTTTCCTTTCAAGGCAGAACGGTTCGACGTTTTTTTCAGGTTTTTTTTTCAAAACAAAATATCAATCGAATGTAAACATTATTTGCAGTGGTGCCAGAATTGATTGAAAAATTGCTTGTCATGCGGCGAAAGGGTGCTTGAAGTGTGTCGAAGTGTGTTTCTGTGGGTGTTAGCACAATGTGGCAGAGTGACTTACCCCCTGCCCTGAACGGTAGTGGCTGCTGATTAAAATTGGATCTCTACAGTTGCGAAACGCTTATGGAACTCTATTACTGATTCTGACGCAGCAAGTCAGTGGTATAGCTAGCGGTCTTTTCCATGTCTTACTCTGATATCCGGTGCTCGGGGCTGAGGTCATTTTAGCTCCAAATAATCCTCCCGCCGGTTGTTCTATTCCTTTAAACAAACAACAGCAAAGGAATCGCAGGGAGTCTGTCATTTTCAGCGTTATGTTATGATCGAGGATATGGTTGCCAGTAAATTTATTTTTTCTGTTGAAGTTTTGACAACTCCGTAAATACGATGAAGCACCCAGAAACACCTTCCGACACCCAAAAACACACATGAAACACAATAAGCACAAACACAAGGTGGCAGAGTGACTTACCCCCTGGTGTTAGCACAATGTGGCAGAGTGACTTACCCCCTGACTGGACCGGGAATCGAACCCAGCCACCTCCAGCATGGTCTTGCTTTATTTAGTACATTGTGTTATAAGTTATACCAAGCACTTGTTTGAACATTTTTCAGGTTCTATAATTGCTTTTGACTCTCAGAAGCTTCGTAACTGGCATGAAATTTTTCATTTATGAATGAAAGTCAGGCAACCCTAATAAAAAATAACCATAAACGAACGACAACCCAAATAATAGAACTATTCCACAAATGGTTTGGATGATACCCGGAACACGTCGTTAAGCAAAATAACCATAACAATTTTATTAGGGAATGCTTACGAAACAAATCTGGTTGCCGTTTACTCTGACGAAAAATAAATCACTAGTTGTTCGCGGCATTTTCTCTTGGCAGGACTCTTATTATAACATCGACTCTGGACCTCGCTCTGGACCTTACTAGAGTCGGTGTATAATGAGTCACGCCAAGAGAAAAACAGTGGAACTCGCATCACGGTTCTCGAAAGATTCCCTTCTCATTCACTTGGCAACAGAGGATTTATGCATCAACTTCAAAGGACTTCTAGCGAGAAATCAAATTACCGGCTGCAGTAAATTATTATACTACTGATTTTGTTGGATTAAATCAGCAACATATATTACAAATTCTCATTACTGATCATTACCAAACGAATCTAATTACAATTTAAATGCTCACTGCGTGTTTATGGTCATTTCTTCGATTGAATTTTATATTTTATTGCAATACATTTCGTGTAGCTTTCATAGCATCGTAATGTTTATTTATTTTGCACGATAGGTAGCCAGTTTTACAGTTCAATAGGTAGACTTGGCTTCACTCTTGGCGTAACTCATAATACACCGACTCTAGACCTTAGAGCAACCGTAACGGTCATTGTCATTTGCGCGACTATTTTAACAGCGCACAGCGCTCTCATTTTAGTTTAGTCACTCTCACCACACCGGGCGCTGCTATCGCGGTTATCAATTTACTTGCCTTTGTCCGTACCGGTAGTGAGCATTTTGACGATAGCAACGAATAGCAACCTTTCTCCCGCGCTGCTATCGCGCTGCTATCGCGCTGCTAAATTTGGTAGCGCGCTTCTCACCGAGAAGCCGACTGCTATTTTAGTTACTCGTATGGCAACCCCTGATACGGTAGCTGCGCTATGATGAGGGCTGCTAAAATGAGTTTAGCAGCGTACCGTTACGGTTGCACTAAGAGTTTTGTTTTCAAAAGTTGATATTTAGGTCGTTTTAAATTGTTACTCGAGTGCTGTCTCGTTTATCTCCATCATGTCCGTTTCTGAAGGGCGCTACGGCTGCTGTCAAAATGACTGCTTTGATGTTGTCATGTTTGTTTTGCTGTTGTTATGCATCGCGCTTTTGTGTTGGTATGCTCCGGCTCCGCAATCATGTTGAGCAACTCGAGCGAGATACCACCATACAATGTTGCGTCAGTAGAAGCGAGATGCAGGCAGAACCGTCTGACGACGGACGATTTGTTGCTTCCCGTGCACGGCAAAAAAGCAAGAAAGAAACAGTTTGTCCGTCAGTTCTCTTTCGTTCGTCGCGTTCATGTGTTGGTGGTTTTCAATCTGGCTGCCTGCCTGCTTGCGGTTTGAAATTTTCATTCAATCCGAAGAAAAAGTGAAGGCCTCCATTCGCTGCAGGTAGTGGTTCTTGGAAGCGGAAAAAATAGTGTCTGCCTGCGAGCCGTCCGAAAATATTATCGATTACGGGCGGAGACCGTGCTAACGAGTTTGGTGAGGATTAGCTGAAGTACCTGTTGTTTCCCCCGGAAGAGGCTGACTGGGGACCAGCCCCGTGTGTGTTTTTTTTGTGTTGGAAAAAGTGGTGCCCCTTGTGTGCATTCATGTGATTTCGAGCGCAGGAAGAATACGAAATAGAGGAAAATGGCCTGCGCTAGCGCTACGACGACAGGCACCAGTATGGAAGTGGTAGCGCCGACCAATGTCTCCGTCGCGACCAGACCATCTCGGTTTACGATGGAGGGCGTTGGATCCCGGGTTATCCGCGGACCGGACTGGAAATGGGGCAAACAGGTGAGCAACTTCTAGAAGCACCAGCAAACTTCAAGTCGAATGGAAGCCATTTTTGTACCGTTTAAACAGTAGAAGAAGGAGGATGAGGAGAAACCTTGAACGGAGCAGGAGGCAGCAATAAGACGAGACTAGTAAATTCCGATAGAGAGCGCGGAGGCTCGTACGTTTTGAATTCGAATGGGCCTAGCCAACTTTCTGATGATTCATCATCAACATATTGAGACTCTTGTGTGCGGATGTTGGCCAAGGGTTTGAGGAGGGCGGGGGAGCTACGAGATCATTATTGAAAAATTGCAGCTCAATTATTTATGATGTCTGAAAATTTACGAATTAACTGATTGAAGCTTCGTGCTGTGTATTGCAGTCTTCTTTGTAGTTCGTCTCTTGAGTGTCTTAGTCTTGAGTGGAAATGTACACGTACTTATAATCACGTTTGTTAGCACTGAAGCTGAGTTCAGCTGCGAAATAATTAACGAGTGTCGTCACTGGCCTGTGCCGTCCATAGATTTCCTATTGAGATAGGTTACCTAACATTAGAACAACGAGGGCAGGACTAGCTTGTAGCTTTAAAATGCAAGAAGCAGGAAGCTGTTGCTCACTAAAAACTGATAGACCATAAAGTAAACAACAGAAGTTTAGAGCTGAGAAGCTTTCGTTCCAAAGTATCAATATTCATTACCGATGAATTGCTTGATTCCTTCTGGAAGCCTGCGTTGGACAATCTAATTTTGCTACTCATAGTATAATTTTATTGAACTTCGACGGAGCTACAGAAGGAGGCAATTAACTATATTGTGACCAATGACCGCAAATCATTTATCGGCGCTTATTCAAGTCACCATCGACCGTGGAGATGTTCGTCTAGCACGATGCTTTGATTTTCGAATTTCTCTTCCATATTACTTCTCCGGCAACGCTTCAACATCTGATTTCGAATAAAAGGAAAACATCATATTCAAATAGAAACCATACGTGAGTAGTTTCAAGCTTGCCTTCTATATCATTCGTCGAGGAGTCAGAGCTGGCAATGCAATGCAACCTCGCGCTTCGCGGTCAAAATGAAGCGAATGAACTCTACCCCGAGCGCCATACCAGCATAATCCGATTGGCGAGAGGATAGGCAGTACCCTCGGTATGTTTTTCCAATCTGTATGTGGGAAAATGTTTGTAAATGCATAAACTTCGTCTTCATCAAGGGGCAGTAGAGAGGCAGTCGGCGGTGATGATGCAGCAGCCTTTGCGTGAAAGCGAAATTGGAAGCAAACGTGCCAAAACCTATCAGCAAAAGATGCGATGTTTCGCACATTGCATCGCATCGTAACATGTGTGATGTTGATGGAGTGTTGATGAACATTTTGAGGTCAGCATCCATCTATGAGAAAAGCAAGGAGACATGCAATGCTGCAGTTTTTTGTCGGCATGTTTTTCGGGTGCGATTGGTAATGGGAAAATTATTCTTATCGCATCGAGTCGATCGGCGACTGATTGGAAGTAAGTGGAGCGCTGTTTGTGTCGCTCGTGTATTGCTGTATAAACAGAAGTAGGGTAAATTGATTGATGATGAATGGTGCCGGCCCAACGAAATTGAGAACAGTAAAACAGTCTTCTATAAATTTGAATTATGATTTAGCAATAACTGGAGTAATACATTCTTCTCTCGCTCTTAGAGCAATCGTTATACACATAATATATGTTGACAATTCAAGAGATTTATATTAGAAAGGTAAAATAAAAATATAAATTGAAACTTCCCAAATTATAGTTTACCGCCAAGGGCGTAGCCAGGTTTCGAGCTAGGGAGGGGCGAATAAAATACGGTGGAAAATTTGGCCGAATGCCATGTGTTGCTGAGTAGCCCCCTCCCCTGCCCCCTCTGGCTACGCCTATGTTTACTGCTTTCTATAATTTTGCACGCTTTTTTGTCTCGACATATGAGGAATTGTTAGACATTATTTTAATCTCGATCGATGTAGCTTAACTAGAGTAGTCTTGAAGATTGATACGACGAAATTTATTTTTGTTTCTGGTCTCTTTTAGCCTTAAGGTTAACCCATGTCACTACGAAGGTGGCAACATCTTCCGCAATAATTCATCTTGTATTCGGAATTTCCAGAAACTCCCAAAAAATGGGAAAAATCCGGAATTATCTCTGAAACCTAGAGACCCGAGGAACTTTAAAATATTTGCGAATCACGAGACTCCTAATAGTGCGTCAAATATCCAGAGATTCATGCATTATAACTTTAGAGCCCCTGCAGCTTCAGAAACAGAAGAATTTGTTAAGTTCAAAATTACAATTGAGGTTGTTAGGGAAAGGGGTGTAAATGTCTTTGATCAATGCTCTTCATCGATTTTCTCTTCTTCTTCTTCTTTCTCGATGCTCATTGTATTTTGACACATGAGCCTAGGGATGGCACAGCAGTATAACGCTATATTGCCAGCGAGTTTTGTTTATAGTCGCATCGACTTCACTGACAGTTTGCTCAGAGACTTAGAACATTTACCTGTTATTACAGGTTGTTTTGTGTGATTTACCTAGATTTGTTTGTTTATCTCTCTTAGGAAGGCTACTACATTACTCAGATTATTGGTATTGAAAATTTGATAAATATTGCAGTAATTATCTAATTCGTATCTACTTCTGGTTTGTGCATACTTAACACAAAAGAAAATAATATGTTCCGCATTTTCAACAACGTCGCAACTTTCGCATATACAGTCAGTCTGGATTCTCATCTTGAACAGCCAATAACTAGAATAGTCATGATCGGCCAAGAGACGATTTAGAGTGCGAGTTTCAAAATTATTGAGCTGTGTTTTGTAATACCAGGGCTTAACCGGAATCGTATTCTGGAACTGAAAATATTTACAGCCTTTTCCGCTTACAAAACTGGACCTTACAAATAATGGGTTGTTAAGAACCATTACCGTTCCAAATTCTTGTTTTCTCCATACATTTTCGGAAAGAGAACTATATTAGAACCTTTTCACTTATGGTTTGAGAACTTTAATGGTAATGGTTATGGTAGTCAGTAAGGTCCACGAATGGTTTTGTAACATCGATCAACTTTATGTGGAATATATCGCGAATTGGTTGCCTGTAATTTACTGATTACCAATTCACGATATATTCCACGTAAAGTTGAACGATAATACAAAACCATTAATGGACCTTACTGACTACCATAACCATTACCATTAATGTTCTCAAATCATAAGTAAAAACGTTCTTATATAGTTCTCTTTCTGAAAATGTATGGAGAAAACAAGAATTTGGAACGGTAATGGTTCTTAACAACCCATTATTTGTAAGGTCCAGTTCCAAAAAACCATAATACATAAGGTTGAAACTTTATCATTAAACGTTCATGTAAAGTTCCATAACCATTTCAGTTAAAGTTTAGCAGGGATTATAAACAATTTTTAACCATTTTAGGTAAGGTCAATTTATGGTTCGCGTTTATGCGGGTTGACCAGCGATCGCATAAAGTGTATTAATCGGGGTTTTGTTTTTGTGCATCCGGTAACTTTCCGGAGACATTGATTATTTAGCACATCTAGTTTTGCTAGGTTGGTTTTACAGGCAGATCCATACAAAGTTGAACCGTAATCTATTCAACTTCTGAAAAGTGCGTTGTAGACCATGCCAAGGGTCTGTGGGTGTGCACCATATTTAATGCCACTGATCACCTTGATCATATTATGTCTCTCAGTTAATCTTCGGGTAAGATCTCTGATATGTGCACCATACCGGAGTGATCTATCCAAAAGAATTCCTAGGTAATTATAAGTACGGACGGTTTCAAGCTTGGAATCTCCAATACAGATGTTTAAGTCATTCGAGCTATTAACACAAAGCATTGCCTTAGTTTTCTGTGCATTTATCGACAGATTTAATTCATCGGCTTTGTATTTAAAAAGCTTGAGGAACTTTGTCCCTCTAGTATTTAATTCATCTTTACTTCTTCCTTCGATGATAACAGCAAAATCATCAGCGTATTGTACTAGTACCACTCCTTCTACATGAATACCATGCAAAGCAGTTGTATATACGTTGAAAAGAGTAGGCGAACAAACATCACCTTGCGGAAGTCCCTGTGTGACGAATCGAGTAATCGTTTTATCTGCAACCTGAATTTGAATTTTCCTGTTTGTTAAAAAGGAAATAAACCAACTAGACAATTCAGGAGGTATATCCAGATTTAGAAGAGTTCTTCAAGTTTATCTGCTCTCACAGTATTAAAGGCATTTGAAAGGTCAACGAAAACGATAGCAGCTATTCTATTCTGTCTCTTAATTTGAAAAATCCTATTCGTAACGAATTCAAGACATGTGATCGTGGACATTCGTTTTCTGAATCCGAAAGATAAATAAAGAATAACCTTAATCGTTTTCAAATCGATAGGAATTCTGTTGGTTTTCCAGATTAAATTCAGGTCTCGAATTATGTTATCTCTAACTGTTGGCTGTAACATATCCAACATTTGATAGGAGATCCCGTCGGATCCAGGAGCTGATAGATTTATTTTGCCTTTGACCTTTTTGGCAATTTGTTTATACCAAAAATCTACGGAAAGGATATCATACTTCGAAGTGCGTGAGGGTGTGTCATCTTGGTATGGTTCCAAAGGAAAATGTTTATTGAGGAAATCATTTGCCAAGCTTGCGTCCTCGTGAACCAAAACGTTTCCTGGTTTCTTTTTTCCTCCAGTCAGCCTTCTTATTTTATCCCAAACGGCGGATGTAGAAGTTTGAGGATTAATACTAGCCACAAAATCTTGGAATCTTGCCCTTGAAGAATCCTGCTTTTTGCGATTAAAAATTGCCTCCTTCTTCTTAAAGTCCAGAAGTTCCATGATACCTCCTGTTTTGTTGAATAAGGCTCGAGCTGCCCTTTTTTCCTCCCAAGCCAGTTCCACCTCTTCAGACCACCAGAACTTGGGCGAATGTTTGTTTTTTTGTTTAGCACCTTTGAGAATGTTTTTAGTCTCATTTTGGAG